CGCCATCTTTGTTGTCATCAGTCGACCATATGCGCTGGCAGTTAATTTGCATATCGCCCCGATTAGCCAATGGGAAGGGTAGCAGATGTACGGCTAATTACCATGTTTCTCTTTATTAGATAGGATATCCATTCATTCACCTAATGACTTCCTTTTCCAAATTCTTACCATCTTTTCATCTGTAAAATTACCATTAAACCACATCCCCAAGTATAAGGAAAAACTATTTCTTTCACGAAGCAACTACCTAACTGGGAAATCCTCATAGTTCTTTAAGCATTTTATGCTGAGATTCAGACACAATAAAGGATGCATGTAGTAAACCTAAACTGTTATAACTTATAGTATGGATCTAGTAGTTCTTACAATTAGGTAATGATCATTTCACCTCTGGTTTTCCCTGACCGCTCACAGCAAGTGTGTAATCTCCTTACTCCTCTGGAAGAGACACTGAGTTTCTGTAGAAAGAACTAAATTTCTAAGGCTATACCACTGATAAGCTTTCAATCTCAGGGCAGAGGGGTGAAAATCAGTATTTTCTTTTAAAACTTCTAGGTTTCAAGTCTTGTAAATATTCTCTAACTTGAAATCAAGACCATAAAGGACTGAAAACTTGAAAGCTAAAAAATGTAACCAGTAGAGTCTGGAGAAACAATAATCCCAGGCCACTGCATGCTGCTCGCTGGCTGGGAGGTTCAGACCTCAGGATTCTGTGGAATTGGCCCCTCCTCAAAGGTGTACAAAGACATGTTGTACATGTGGGTATCAGAAAAGCTGAAAAGAATGGCGATATTAGCAATGAGAGCAAGAGAAAGCCTACAAAACATTCACACAATTATTTTAAGTATTTTATGAATTTTGTATGAGGATTCATACAAATTTCAGACCCAACAGTACTGGGAGGGGAAAAGTATGTTATAAGGCTTTTCAGAGGCTCTCCGAACAATAGCTGCATCACTAAACTGGTAACATATACAGATTTACTAAGTCTATTAGATTATGGGACAGCTTGGCATTGTCTTTCTTCCTCTTTGTAAACAGGTTTAATTTGCTCCTTTCTCAGAGTATTCACCTTCTTGAGAATTACAGTGGATAAACGCAGAGCTCCAGGGTAAAAGCTGCTCATCACCAAGCAGTCTAATGGTGACTAATAGGACAGTCACTTTGAGTTATAGCTGAAAGTTCTATGCAAAAAATCAAGTGAAGCCATTGAGAACTGAAGAATCAGAATTGAACCCAGCTGTGCAAAGATGATTTAACACTAGACTACATTAGAAAATCTGTTATTGTAGCCCTGGCCGTGTGGGTCAGTTGTTGGAGCATCATACCCTACACCAAAAGGTGGAAGATTCAATTCCTGCTCAGGGCACATACCTAGGTTGTGGGTTCAATCCCCGTTTGGGGCACGAATGGGAGGCAACTGATTGATGTTTCTCTCTCACCTCTCTCTCTTTTTCTCTCGTCTCTCCCTTTCTCTCGCTCTAAAAATCAATTTGAAAACATATCCTCAGGTGAGGATTAAAAAAAAAAGAAAATTTGTTATTATTATCCATACCTCCTTAACAAATTAAAAAAGAAAAAACATTTTGATTACATAAAAACTATAAGATCATAGCAGATGTCCAAGATCTACAGCATAGATCTTATAAATGCATAAGATCTACAGTAGATGTAGAAAAATTCAATATCCATCCTTTTAAAAAAAACACAAAACTTTCTTAGCCAAACACTTGCATAACTCAATAAAAGGTATACAGCAAATGCCCCAACAGACATCCTTAAGGACAAAATGTTGAAAGCACTCCCTTTAAATAAGGAACAAGGCCGGAATACTTCCACTCTCACCCTTCCCACCAACACTGCACAATGGAAAGGGGCCTGCCCAGGCCACAGAATTACCCGTTAGCCAGGTCGCGAGGACACAGGCTTTCCTCCTCCCCGTCAGCACTTTCTATCCTTCATTACAGTTTTGTGCCACAAGTGTCCCTATTCCCTTCTGCCTCATCATTAGAATCTGTGGCTGCCGGTGGATTAAATAAGCTGTCAATGTGCCTCGGAGGACTGGGTTTTACTTTCCGATGGTAACAGAAAAGGACGGAAAGACTAGTACCAGTTACAGCTTCACTGCAACTACAGATCAGTGTCCCTGTACACACAGGACAGCACAAAAGCACACACCTAGGGTCTTGATACACGTAAAAGAAACTCCATGTGACACCAACTTGATGTCAACTGTTGGCAAGGTGCGGGGAACAAGCACTCTCCTGACCTACGGGGGGACAGGCTGGGTCATGTGTCTGCAGGGCGATCTGGCTAAATGTATTGAAAGGTTTTAAAAGGGGCATACTCTGAAACAGGAAGTCACTGTCCAGGAATTTTTCCTAAGGAAATAATGAGAGATATAAAATATGTATTTACAGTGTCAAAAGACTGGAAAAGAACACAAACATTCAAGAACAGGCCACTAGTAAGGTACATACAAAATATTTACAGCATAGAATACTATCTGGTCTTTAAAATAATGTATCAAAGAATGATAATAACAATATACTCAGGAAATGTTACATTTTTAAAAGTTACAATGGATACAAGGTGATTCTTCAAAAAATAATTTTAACTTATGGGAAAAACACATAACATATATCAAGAAAATACCAAAATACTGGTTATATTATTACTTGGTGGGGAAATTTGGGGTGACTTTAATTTTCTGTTGCAAGCATCCCAGGCATGCTGACAGACCTGGACAACTCTCACTCATTCTTCTTTGTTGTTTTTGTTTTTATTGATTTTTAGAGAGAGAGGAAAGGCATGGGACAGAGACATGGAAACATCGATAAGGAGAATCATTGATCAGCTGCCTCCTGCACACCCCTCACTGGGGATCGTGCCTGCAAAGCAATGCAGGCATGTGCCCTGACCGAGAACTGAACCAGTGACCTCTTGGTTCATGGGTCGATGCTCAACCACTGAACCACACTGGCCAGACACTCTCATTCTTCAAGACTCAGCTTACTGTCACTTCTTTCAAAAAGTCCTCCTGCACTAGCCTCCTTTACCCCACATATCCTAGGTGTTCCTCCTTGGCACACGACTCTGGGCTGTCCTTTATCCCTGTACCACACTGATGGATTTGATTCACTACATCCCCACCACATTTGGAACTGCCTATAGTCAGAAACCGGGGGTGTTTCATTTTCGTATCTCCAACCTGTCTGGAATCTAACAGAATGAACATGACTAAGCAAAAGATTCTCTGTGCTCTTTGAATTTAAAGATCAAGGAGGGAAATGTTAATAAGGATGAGCAAACACTGATAAAGAGGTATCTCCTTACCTTGGCTAGCAGACTTGAAACATGTTTAATTTCACCATGTGCCTTTAGTAATTCTTGTTTGAGCTCAGTGCAAGACAATTCCAGCTGATCTTTCTCAGCTCGAGCTACTTTCAACATTTCTTGAATTTCACAGCCCTCTGCCGTCTGCCCCATAGAACTGGTCACTATCGCTTTTTGCTTCTCATTCTCCAAATAAGCCTTCAAAGACCCATTTTCAATCTTCAGCCCTTCCAAGGTAACTGTACACTCTTCCAGGGTTTGGGCCATCACACCACTGTTCTGCCGTTCCAGTTCTAGAAGCCCGTTCAGTTTTTCATTCTCTTCCTTCAGGCGTTGGATCATCTCTGCAGCCCCTTGATTTTCCTCCTCGGCCTTCCGCAGGCTGCAGGTCAGCTGCTGCTGAATGCTGAGCAGCTTCTCCCGTTCGCAGCGGCCCTGCTCCAGGATTTCCGTGCACTTCTGCTCCAGCTCCAGGACCTTCCCTTCTTGCGTGCCGGGCTCCTCCTTCTTCACTCGCTCTTGTAGGAGATTTATCAGCTTCTCATTCTCATGACTGAGCTGCTCTGCCCTCTCCCGATGCTGATGAAAGGAAGTTTCCAAAATCGTCTTTTCATCCACCAGCTTCTCATTTTCAGCTGTCAACTCCTGCACCATTTGTTGCTGGTCTGATAATTCCTGTAAAGTAGCCTGCAGTTCTTCTGCTGTGCTATGATGGTTTTCTTCCATCTTTTGTATCTTCTCCGTAAGGGAAGCCAGGGACAGTTCACTCGCGTTGTTAGGGGAACTCCCAGTGGTAGAACACTTCGAACTCTTAAAGGGGTTGCTCGTGGAAGACAGGGGCCGAGAGGGGGTGTCTGCTGTGAGGTGCTCAAAATCGGAGGCATCCGGTGACAAAGAAGCTTTGGTAACATCGCTGCTTGAAGAGCCCGACGTCGGTAATATGTTCTGGGGGGCGTGTCTTTTATATTCATCTACTTCACCTGACACCTGATTCCCAGTTGGGCTTCCGAAGCTTGACTCTTGGGTGAGGGATGTGGGACAGCTGCTATCAGCAGTGTGACTGGACCCTGCTTCTGAATGCTCAAAATAACGCAGTTTCTCCTTCAAGGCCCGGTTTTCCTCCTCCAGATCAGAAAGCTCTTTCTGGAAATTCTTGTTCTTCTCCTCAAGAGCTTGTATCAATGGTTCAGAGTCAGCTGCTGAGACTGATGTTCCATCCGTCTTTGGGTCCGAAGTGTCGGTTCCTGCCGTGTTCAGAGTCCTTTTCTCCCTGCATTTCTTTAGTTCACTTCGAAGCCTGTTAATTTCACTATCTTTTGCTTTGGCCTCTGCCAAAAGCTCCCGAACTTGGGACTCGAGCACAGCCTTTTCTCCCCCTTCATTCTCTGGCCTGGGTCTTGTGGAAGTGGTCCTCTGGTGCTTGGTAGGGGTGGGTGTGCTGGAAGAAGTTGGACTAGACACCGATTTCTTTGGGTTGGTGGGACCACGTGGCACCGTTCTCTCTCTTGAGATAGTTGCCGAAAGTTCTCGAGGAGCTGGAATGCCTGTCCGTTTGGTGGTTGTCGCAGACCCTAGAGACAAAAGTAAAAATCAATGAAACAAAGCAAGCACTTTATAAACGAAGGCCGAGCCACTTCAACCTGCATGGCGCCCTCCATCTACTTCCTCCTCCTCTAGATAACCACCCAGTTCTGACTGGGGTTTCTGTACCTCCTCCCACAGCCCCCTACTTGAGGGGAAGTGACTCAAAACAATCGCATCCCAGCCATTGTTGGTGGTTCAAGGCATGGGCACACCCCTCAACTAAGGAAAGGTTTTCTGGGTGAGCTTCTGAAAGATTGTTGGCCATGAGTGAGAAATCAGTTAAGTCTGGGACTGGCTGGCAGCCATCCTGTTGTCAGGACAGGAAGGTGAGAAGCAGAGTAGAAAGAAGACAACCTAAACCCTGGCAGCACTGTGGGTTTGCTAACTCAATCAACCCTCAGGCGTGGCCCATGGCTGGCCTTCCAATTACACAACCCAACAAATACCCTTCATAGAAGTCACCTTGCATTGGGTTTTCTTTAAGTTGCAACCTTGATAACCTATCTGAATTGATAACCTTGACAAATGAACAACAGTCTTTCAACAAAATAAACTTTCATATGAATTTTTCAATAAATACTTAAAAATTAATCATTAATATATTTAGACTGAGCACAAACTAATTAAGAAATCAAAAGACATAAATAATCCAATGAAAGACTGATCTGATCCAATGACCTATTGCTTTTAACGTAAGTGGAAATGGTGTGCTCGTCTGTATTCATAAACAAGAACACATGGGATAGGGGCATATTATCTATCGCTAAGGTACAGCTTTAAATGTTAAAGGGATTTATATAATATGGAAATGATATGGAATTTAGAACTTATAACGGGAAATGTAAGGAATTATCTTTTATTTTCATCTAGACTTCGACACTATAATCATTTTAAAATTTTCATCCATCCTATATTTAAGCTTTCATTTATACTATTATTAAAGACAATGTTGAAAAAAATTATAGGGGTGAAACTCTCGTATGATCTAGAAATGAAACCCACCTTACAGGTTAAATGTAAATGAACCTGTTTTACAAACTCCAAGGCCACTGGATGTTAAGGCTGCTGGCTGTGACTTACGCAAGCACGCTCCTTGGGCTGGAGGCCACCAGTCTCTCGGCCTCTACAGTGTAGGAAAGGCTGGCGCAGGGGATGCAGCCTCAGACTGGCAGCAGCTCCGGGCTGCTAGGGCAGAAGCAGAACCCAACACAGCACAGTAGCTCTAAACCCACCACCTACACTTACTCAGGCATGAGCTACCGCATATCGAAGTGTCTTGAAATCTGCGGTGATGACAGCATTGTTGCTAACTCTCTGACATCTGAGTGCTTTTAAAACTTTAACATAATAATGGCTAAATTGCCATAATAATATACAGGAAAACTATGGTTTTTATAGTAACTTTTCAAATTAAGTTACTCAAAAGCTAAGAGTACTACAATACACATCTAATGCTTCAGGTGCCCAGATGCCTCACTTGCAACCTACCCGATATGCAACAAAAAAAAGATTTAATTATTCTTTTTTAACCCTCACCTGAGGATACGTTTATTGATTTTAGGGAGGGATTAAGGGAAGTACGGAGAGAGACAGACAGACAGACAGGCAGAGAGTGTGATGTGAGAGAGAAACAATGGATCGGCTGCCTCCAGTATGGGTGCTGACCAGGGATAGAACCCACAACCTTTTGATGCATGAAATGATGTTCCAACCAACCGAGCCACCCAGTCAGGGCTAAATGTTCTTGTTACAGAAAGACTAATATCACTAAGCAATAAAATGTTTTAGTAACAACAGTCCCCTAAGGTGAAGTAATCTTGGCCAGGACCATAATGAAAACAGAAAGATAATTAAAGTTTCACCACAACTATAATCAGACCAGGCAAAACTGAGAGTACAGGACTGATGATCACAGAGGTATTTGCCATGCCTAATGATGCTACGAAAATTAAGGTTCCTTTTCAATTACTGATTTTGATGATGGGAAGAACTAAAATAAGAGAGATGAAATGTGTCATCATTTCCAGCGACAGTTTACTCCTTCCTTTAGCTGCCAAATCTTAGTTTGTTCTCCACTTAGGTGTTAGTTAACTTTATTTAAATTACTAGGAATAATTTTTTTTACAACAAACCAAAGTACATTTATGAAACATATCCAACTGTGGATTAAAAACACATAATCTAGTTGAATTTTTTTTCTACATCTGTTCTTTTTTCTCTCTCATCACTTAAAGAAAATCCTCAGTATAATTGTTTTAGATTTTCTAAAAGATTTTTCCCATCGCTGTACACATAATTTCAGAAACTGCAATTAGCAGAGGTAAAGTTTAGAGAGTTGTTAAAATTCATCATCAGACCAAACTAAGGTTGGTACTTGGCTGCTCACTGCCCCATTTTGGGCCTAATTCTGCCCCCAGACACACCTCATCATGGGCACTGGTGGGTAAAAGTAAAGCGGTGGCAGTGCTACAGAACACGATGTGATCAATCAGCAGGGCTCTACCCTCGGTCTCTTTCGAGCACTGTGGGTTCAGCACCCTCACTGCTGAACACCACACCCGGAGCCCTGAAACTGGGCATGCTACTAACACAATACTCCATGGCAGGAGTGACAGCAGAGTGTTGGGAAGCCCAGGGCCGAAGGAACAGGACTTCTCACTCCTTCCCATCCTCATATCAGATCAGCACTTATTCCTACTGAGGCTGGCTGTCTGATGCAAGATGTGAAAATAAAAGCAAGCTCCACCCAACATGATAATTTATTGTTAAAAAATTGTTTGATATGTTACATTTTTAAAGGCCAAATGAAAATTTATATTATAGTGCAATTAATCACAGATGCACCAAACTATGTAGTCATAGAGACACACCCTAGGAAGAAACATATAATATTGAGAACAGGTGAGTATTAAATAGGTTGGACTTTGAGTAATTTTCCTGCTTCTTTATTTTACAGTTACACTTATACAATGAATTTAAAAAAAACAGGAGTGAAAAATCCTACCATAACAATATACAGAGAGATAAAGGTATGGTAAAAAGAAATCTTTTCAGAGAACATAAAGCACATTTGAAAATAACAATAGCATGATCATGTATGTGTGTGTGTGTGTGTGGCTAATATGCAAATTGTCCCCACGGGAGTTCAACCGGAAGACCAGGAGTTCGACTGCTCACTATGATGTGCGCTGACCACCAGGGGGCAGCATGGAATGAAGAAGGCCCCGGCCGGCAGCCAGCAGCCAGAAAAGGAAGGCCCCAGCTGGCAGCCAAAAGGCCCCGATCAGCCCTGATCGCCAGCCAGGCCTAGGGACCCAGACCATGCACCAATTTCGTGCACCGGGCCTCTAGTTTAAACCATAAAACAGGTGACACTTTTAAATAGTGATTTTTATGAATTGTAATAAAATATTTTCAGGCCCTTTTTAATGTCCTCATCTTACTCAAAGAATAAGCTACTAAGGTTTTTCTTTGGTAGGTCTTCTGTCTAAAGTGCACTGATGAAGGGTGACTTTCTGAACTAATTATCAATCCTTCATTTATTCAACAAGAATTCACAGAGTACTTCTCGGTGGGAGATATAAATGAAGGTCACGATCTTCACATACCACACGATTGCTGCCTTGTCTCCTAGACACAAGAGAACTTGCTCATTCTGAGTCTAAACTATTAGGATATTTCTTCATTATCACTCTGCATGAATTTTTTTCTCAAAAAGTTCCAATAATTTCTGTATGGTCAAACCTAATTTCCCCCCTTAATCATCAGCCTTCTCAACTTTTCAGTGGCAGCTAACTTTAAGTATCCATTCCTTCTTCCCTTCATTCTTTTTATTCATGTCTGACAGTGGCACTAATCATTTTTTAGGTTCCCCTATTCAAGGAACCCTAAAAACATATTTAAACCTTCCTTTCCCCTTCCTTTTTGCAACTAACCAGTCCGTTACTAAAACTTATGTACTGTTTTTGGAAATGATTCCATATTTTTCCTTTTCTTTCATGATAAATCTAGTCCAGGTCCTCTGTCTACATTTCTTTTTTTTTTTTAATTGTTTAAAGTATTATGTATAGTATTACATATGTCTCCTCCCTCCTCCCCCCCACCCCTCCGCCACCCTGCCTTCTCTCTGAGATTGCACGGTCTGTTCAGTGGTACCTGGATCTATTTTTGTTCATCTGTTTCTCTGTCTACATTTCTGAATCACTCTCCCACCTTTGGGATATTCTGGGTCAAATCCCTTACATAACTCATTCATTTTTCTTTTCAAGAACCTGTACATACTTCTTCTCATCAGCTACACCAATGTTAAATTTCTTCCCTTGGCTTTCAAAGTCATATATAATCTCTAATCAATATACTCAACCTTTTTCAACTTTGGGTTTTGTTTTGTTTTTTTTTGCTCTCTAGTACACCCATTTATCTCTAGCCAGTGTCCTCAATGTCCCCAGTACACTTATGACTTGTTGAAATATCATTCCCTTTCCACTGTATCATTCTGACTGGCACTTAAACAAGCTTAATTCCCGCCAATTAAACACACACACACACACACACACACACACACACACACACCCTAGAATCCACATCTTCCTCTAACTAACACCTGATTTCTCTCTTCCCTCATAGCAGAATCCTCCAAAGACATATTCACTGGTTGTCCTCATGTCTTCCGCTCGCACTCACTCCCCTGCCCACTCCCATTGCACTGCCTGGTGAGGTCATCAATGACCCCCATGTGGTCCAATACAATGGATATTGTTCATCCTCTCAGCAGTTAGAACAATTTCTTCCTTTTGGAAACATGCCTCTGATGTCACATTGTCTTAGGTTTTCTCTTAACCCAGCAGCTACCCTCTGTCCATCTCCTTTGCTTGTTCCTCCTCCTCTCGCTACATATTAGAATTCCTTGGGTCTACATCCTGTTCATTTTTCTTCTCTTATTACAAATATTTTCCTGGTGATTCTACTCAATAATCTTAAATAACAC